ACACACACATACACACTATGCACAAGCACACTCATATACACACATACACTATGCACAAGCACACTCATATACACACTATGCACAAACACACTCATGTACACACACATACACACTATGTGCAAGCACACTCATATACACACTATGCACAAACACACTCATGTACACACACATACACACTATGTGCAAGCACACTCATATACACACTATGCACAAGCACACTCATGTACACACACACTATGTACAAGCACACAAATACACATTGAGAATTGTAATAAAAATAAGAATGAGATTTTACCCTAAAAATCGAACATTTAATTAATGGATCAATAATTTGATTTATAAACACAAAATAATGAAAAATGTTTGACTTTTTCCAAAACGAAAAAACGTTTGCAACTATTGTCAGGACAACCAGTGACATCACAGCATTTCCTGTCCGAAACGTTCTGTCACAAAAAAACACGAGGTTTGATCAGCTGATATATAGCAGATGATTTCCTCAGTGTTTATTGTTTGAAATCTATAAAGTCATTGATTTTATTAATCAGTTAATAACATTTATTCTGAAAACATGACAGTGGAAACTTCCTGTTCAATACGTTTACATTATTGGTCCTCGTCTCTGATCAATCAACTCATCAGTTTGATTCTCAGCTGATGCAAGAATTTCATCTGAAGAATTCAATTCAATCAATTGATCAATTACTTAATGATAAAATTGGTGTAGTGTAACCCCAGCCCCTCCCCCATGTTCGTCACTAAGTATGACGACAATAAAGTTTTATTGTGACGTTCATGCAGTAACTTCAGCATCCCAGTAATGGTTGCGGTGCTTTCAGGGCCCGTTGAAGTTGTCATGGTGGCTGAGGCGCAGGGCGCCGGCGTTCTGCCGGCTCTGCAGTGTGTGTTGGACCATGTCCAACCACTGGTCGTCGGAGATTTCCTGGGCCCACGCCGGCACGGCGAGTGACGGCAATGCCACCGCTGCCATCGTCCTCTTCACCAGCTCCACGTGGTCTGTGGAGATCAGGAAGTGATGTCATTTGTTTTCATTTAAAAAACTTCATTTAAATGAGCAAAACCAGACAAATGTTTCCATCCTTAATGACTGACAACAGTTGTCGTAGTAACCACAGTAATGACAGTAAGAGAGTAGAGGACTCATGGACGACAGACCTTCATCCATGGGGATGGAGGCTCGGCTCCTCAAAGCCGCCGCCCCCTCCGGGTCATCCTCCTCATCACTTTCAGGGGGCGGAGCTTCAGGAAGGTGGAGGCCCATCACCTGGAGGAGATGGTACGTTTACTTGTAATAGAGATAATTACACAATATTGATACTTGATACAGGTAACGGAGTACTTTTACTGTAGTGTGGACCTCACCTCGATTCTCTGCTGCAGCTGCTCAGCAGTTGAAGGCTCCTCGTCCTCTGTGGCGTGCACGCTCTCAGGATCCTGGTTCAGAGGTTGGTAATAATAACCTCCCTCTGTCTCCCCCTCGCCATCCAACTCCAACTCTTCCCCCTCCTCCTCCTCACCCCCTCCCTGGCCCCCACTCCACACGGCTCCCGGCGACGGAAGTGGTAGCGTTCCATCAGCTGTACGTTCATTTTCTCCCAGCTCGTCCTCAGAGCTCGGTAAGACTCTCTCCGGTCCCATGGCGGAGCTCCACACTTCCATCCACAGACAAAGAAACCTGCAGGGGGCAGCCCAGAGTCAGAATGTATGTCCTGTTCTGCCCTCTATAGGTAGGGAGCTTGTCCTACAACCTAAAACAATCTGTCACATGAACTGATCAATAACTAATTAACTCTTAATAATGTCTTAAATCAATCGATCACATTTGATTTGTCTCAGATTCAGTTTRTCTCATCGATGTCAACAAGCAGCAATGTCCTCTGTCCTGAACTCATCAAGAGTCAAACTACAGAGACACTTTCTGAGCAGTAACTGAAGCTCAGAGTCACATGTGAGGATCCGTCTCCAGGACACGAGGACAATAGATGCTGATGAACTGAAGACATCAACACAACAACAGATTTACTAGAAGATGAGGAGACATGTTGTGTATCAAGAAGTCTGGTTGTGATCATGGTCCACGATCAACTGACACCATCACCAGGATCTATGGTCAATGATCACATACTGTTAGCATGATATTAGCATGTTAGCTGCTCTGAAGTTTGGATCTTTTACTTCCTCCTCCACTCATCATCATCGTACTTCCTGTTTCTACCTGTTCACACCTGCAGATTCTTCAACGTAAACAAACGAATCATAATTATGATCTCCATCATCAATACATCAGCTGTTCACTGACGATCAGTGATTCATCCAATAATCAATGTGTCATTTCTATAGCAACGTGTTTAGCTTGTTTTGCACAGAAACAGATTTTGATCTGTAGACGTCACCTGCATCAATCAATCAAGCAGCTGTCAGATTATCATTAATGAAGGCCTCTGATTGGTCGAATACCTGAGGAGAAGCGGACCTAGTGTAAAGGTCAGAGGTCATAGAGACGCTGATCAGCTAACATGCTAACACTGCAGTGTTCCCTGGAGCATCTGGAGCGGCTAACTGCTGCTGCGTTTCCGGCAATTAAACTTTCTCTTCCTGTTTTTTATTCACGTCACAGCTACAAACCTTCTCCAGGTGAGCGACACGTCCAGGTGCTCACCTGTCTGTCTCTCTGTCTGTCCGCCTGTCTCCGTCTGTCTGTCTGTCTCCGTCTCTCTGCTCGGAGCTGCAAGTGTTAGCTGTTAGCCGCTGCTTGCGGCAGCTGCGGATCAGGCGCTTCCGGGTGTGTCACGACGCCGCAACGAAACTTACGTCAGACGCATTTTTAAAAAATAACAACTTTATTAACAACCAAATATTAGGAAACGTATGTATTTTTATGTGACGGCTTAAATAGAAAACACATGGAAAATAATTTGGATTAAATATGAATTATCACCACATTGATTTGATCATAAATAATCAAACACATTTAATGATTAAAACAATTTCCAAAAGAAATGTTAAATTAAATTAAATCATTAAAACTTGACTCTCAGTAATGTTTATTCTGTATGTGAATATATGACGTAATAACTGGTTTATTGATCTGTGTGTGTTCCTCTTCATCGTTCCGGTAGGACCATTATTTTGCGGAAGTGTCAGCAAGTGATCGCTTCGATGTGTCTGATCAGCTGATCGATCAGCTCCTGATCACTAATCAATAATAGATATCGATCATTGATACTCTTACAATCCCCCTTTTATCCACGTTACGTCACCAACAAAGGAGGAGGCTCTGGGGGGTACGACGTCACACCCGTAAAGATTGTGTGTGAGGAAGAGGTATCACTCTGATCAGTTTAGGTTCATATGTGAATGAAGTTAAATTTTAAAAAATGAAGTTAATAGAATAAAAGTTTTGTGAAAAAATTAGTGAATTAAAACACTGAATCAATTTTCACAGTTTGTGCTTATATGAAATAACAATATATTAATTTATTTCTCCGTTAAACTTTATTTTACTTAAAACTATAAATGGTGTAATATTTTACATGTGACGTCATCATAAAATCAAAGTTTTTCAGAGACATGTGAGATGATTGTTTTTCATTTGAATATGATAATGTCTTTTATTTTAAAATGAAACATGATGTTTGGTCTCAGTGTATCCGCTCAGAGTGAGACCTCCTGTGTTCCTTCTCTCTCTGGGACTCACTGACCGACGGACGCAGCCTCGGCCGCTCTCACCCCGCACATCGAAGCTGATCAATCGATACCGGATCGATCGACTGTGACGTCGCGGTCTATCAGAACCGGCGCGTGGTCTGCAGCGAGTGATGACATCATTGCGTGAGAGTCCCGATCCTTCCCTCGTCAGCTGATCGATCATTTATCAGGTTCATTGATCAGCTCACAGCTTAACCAATCAGAGTCTGAGTTTATTACTAATCATTCATCAGCTGCTCATAAATACTATTAATTGATTGATTGTTGAGCAACTCTGCCTATTGTTGAACTGATACATTTTCAATATCGATCATTAAATATTTCAAGTTAATCATCTGAAGCTGATCAGCACCGATCAATAAACCATCACTCAGTGATTATTTTATAATAGGAGCTAGAATTATTGATGGCAGTGAGAAAACATCAATGATTGATCTCTTCCATTCATTGTTGACACATCAGTCTGTCAATCATCTGTGGTAAAAGATCATTGATCATGTATCAGCTGCCAATAATAGTTCAATAGAGAATAAATTATTAAAGCCAACAGTTTGATCTCCATGTTCCTGCAGGTTCCCCCACTGCTCCTGTTGCTCCTGGTCCCATCCAGGATGCTGCCAGCCTCCATCCAGATCACAGGGGAGCAACTATCGGCGGCCGAGGTTCAGGACATCTGCGAGAGTCTGAAGGAGGACAGCGTGCGTCTACTGTCCATCCGAGGCTGCCAGCTCTCCGATCGTGACTTTGGACGAATCTGTCGCAGCGTTGCTGAGTCACGCTCGCTCGCTCAGCTCAACCTTAATCTGGGTGTGGTCTCCAGCATCAGCAGAACCCGACACCTAGCTGATGCCATGAGCACCAACCGATCCCTGCAGACCCTGTTGTGAGTAGACTAGCAGGGACCAATCAAATGCTCCGACTCATCTCAGTGGCTGTTAATACAAGACCAAGTGATGACCAATCGTCATGGTCCAGGTGACCTCGCTGACTTCCTCCTCCAGGTCAAGTTCATCTGAACTGTGACGATTCGTCCACGGGGGACCATGTAATTGGTTTGACTTTGTCTCCCCCCAGTCTCCATGGCAGCCCGCTCTTGGATGCTGGCCTGGTGACCCTGAACTCGGCGCTGTCGACCCACCCGGCCCTGGTCTGTTTGGATCTAGGAGACTGCATGCTAGGAGATGAGGCGCTGGGTCTGATCTGCGGGATGCTGCCCCCTGATGGAGCAAAGTCAGGTAACAAACACCACCTGGTACCATCTCCCACAACATCTTAGCAACCAATGGAAACTCTACCTCATAACACAGTGACCTCACTGAACTAAGAATGCAACCAAAGTTGCAGTTGCATTGTCCTCATTTTGGATCACCTTGGCAACCAGCTAATAACTCTAAAGTAACCTCCTGAATAAAATTGAAAGAACCCACAGCAACAGGCGGACATTTCACAAGAGGATGAGCATTTGATAGGAGTGAAAGCTCCAGAGCAAATAACCAAACCCCTGTGTGTGTGTGTGTGTGTGTGTGTGTGTGTGTGTGTGTGTGTGTGTGTGTGTGTGTGTGTGTGTGTGTGTGTGTGTGTGTGTGTGTGNCTGTGGCTCACAGCTCTCAGCTCCGAGTACTCAACCTGGACTACAACCTGCTGGGTAATCAATCAACGTCCTGTTCATTATTTATCCACTTCCTGTAAATTATTTATCCACTTCCTGTTCATTATCTATCCACTTCCTGTTCATCAATCAACTTAAACGGAATCATCTGCCTCGACCGGTTGGGTTGAGCAGGAAAAAATGGGGAGGAGAGATGGGTGGAAAAGAAGGGAGAGGAGAGAGAGAGGAAAGAGAGACCAGGAACCCTTTTGCGCCATCAGGTTGTTTATCATCTATCCACTTCCTGTTTATTAATCATCCACTTCCTGTGAATTTTCAATACACTCCCCGTTTTTGTATATATCCACCTCCTGTTTATTTCTCCTCTTCCTGTTTATTATCTATCCACTTCCCATTAATTCATCAATCAGGTTATTGATGAGCAGCCTCAGCACCAGGTCTTTGGTCCTGGTTTTGATGGTACTGTTTCTAATGGTCCTGGTTCTGTCTCTAGGTGATCAGATCGCTGGGATGTTGGCAGTTGCTGTGGCGTCCAGCAGAACCCTGGAGGTGTTGGACCTGGAGGGAACCGGACTGACCAACCAATCAGCACAGGTTGACCAATCACAGCTCTTCTTCTGTTGTTAGTTGACATCTCACTCTGTCAGGTCTGTGTTGTTGCTGTGTTGTCAAGCAGGGGGAGACACTGACCTTGACACCTCCCCCCTCTGTTTGTAGTTCTTTATAAATAAAGTTTGGTTGATGTTTGAACCCCCATGCGTCTCTTGATCCAGGTTTTCCTCGACATGGTGGAGAACTACCCAACCTGCCTGCGGGTTCTGGTTCTGGCAGAGAACGACATCAGTGCGGAGCTGCAGCAGCAGATCTGCGACCTCCTCTCTGAGGGAGACGATGACAGAGAGGCCCCGCCCTTCGTAATAGGCGCCAACCCAAGCAGTGCCCTGATGTCAATCAGAGACAAGTACCAACCAATCAGAGACAAGTACCAGCCCCCCACCTGGCTCCCCCACAGCAGTAAGGGCTGAACACTCCCCCGCTCCACACTGTCCCCTGCTGACTGTTCTCACTTCCAGTCCCAGTTTACCCTCCATACTGGTCCCACAGGCCCCGTACACACCTGCTATTAAAGGAGACCTATTATGATTTTTCAGTATTTGCAACATCCACCAGGGGTCTTCACAGCAGCCAGAGACAAATCACTCACTTTTTAACATTGTTTAATTTATTAAACGGGCACCAACATAAAATCTAAGGAAATTTAATTGAAAGTGTCCGGCAGTCTTTGCTTGGCAGCTCAGCTCCGTCTTTTTTCCTCATGAGTGTCTCCTCATGTATGAGTGTTCTAGTTTTAGTCAAACCGATTCTGTACTTTTGCCTCAATTCAGGGTCCACCTCCTTTGGAGTCCGTAAAGGTCAAACTGAGACATTTCTGGTCCGAGGAGGATTTACTTACTGTTGCATTGCCACTGGTGCGCAATGAATCCTGGGACAATTCGGCCTGAGAAGGATCCATCTGGTGGATCCTTCGTTCCTGAACTGAAAGACGCATTTGAAGAAATGTTTGAAATGTCGGTCTAATTGTGCCGCTGTGGCGCCATCAGTCTGAAGGAGGCAGAGTCTGAACTGAGACAAAACTTATGCTCATGTCAGTCTTGGTCAGTCCCAGTTGGTCTAGTGTTACTCTGGTTCCCTCCTAATGAACCTGATTTATTTTGACTGATCCAGGATACAATCTGTCTGGTGTTTTCAAGGTTCTGGTTTGTTGTGACAGTTAGAGGTTTTGGGTTTTCTATAGTGAGTGTGGATCTGGTTAAATCTGATTCTATGTGGTTCTTTAAAAAAAAAAAAAGAATATTTAAAGGAAAATTAATTCAGGCTCCATTTTAATATCTTCTCTTTCTCTGTGGTTCTACCCAATTCTCGTCCAGGTTCTGGTCGTAGTCCTGGTTCCAGAGCAGGTTACACACCTATCATTCATTTAAACAACATATTTAAGTTCAGAATTGATTTAACTTAAAGGAAAAGCTCAACAATTAGGGAGCTAACACCAGTTTAGCTTTGCTTATATTAGCAGGAAGTCTCGAAATTGGAGAACAGTTTACTGTCTAAAGGGAATAAATTGCAGTTGTAAAGATTAAAAAATGAATGGACATGAAGTGACATGACCAGGAGGTGTGGTTTGTTGGTCTTGATGACATCAGACTTGTTGGCGTGAAGCTCTAAATGTGTCATTCTTTAACCCACAGACTCCAGCCCGGAGATGGTCCTCCTGACATCAGGTTTAGGTGAGAGCTTATTGGACGAGACTGAGATGTGACCCCTCCACAGACACACCCACTTCCTGTTTTCACTTGGTTTGATTTGTTTGTAGTTTTGGGGTTTGAATGTTTGTTTCTGCACTGCACTTCTCCGGGTTGTCAGATCATATGATCACTAGCAGCCAATCACATGCCACTGCATGGTTTGATGTAGCACCTGTACGTAGACGAGCAGCGGCACCAAAACTCAATGCATCAAATGACTTCACCTGTGATCAGGCTCCGCCCACAAATGCTACCTGCGGGAGCTCAGGCTAAAAAATCCTCCGACCATCTGTTGTCTGAGTCATCTGTCTCTCTCCAGCTCCTCCTAGTGGAGAACAGGTATTTGCTCTCAGGGCTGATGGGAAATGTAGTCCATGCAGAGCCTGAACCTTCAGGATGTGACCTAAACAGCTGACTGAACTTAAATATGAAGTTTGACTGTTTAAAGTCAAAAGGACGACAATGCTCATCGGTGTCTTTGATGAAGATTTTGTCAACTGGAGTTTCTGCAGGTAAACAGAAACCGAATGTTTCTGATGAATGTATCTTCTGTTTGTTCTGCTGCTCAACAACGTCACAATAATAAAACTGTTTACAGCTTCGTAAGAAACTTTGACTCAGATTCATCTTTTAGTGTCGGACTCAACAGATTTGAATTCCCACTGATTTCACTTCGCACAGCGGTCGACAGGTTCACCAGAGATGGACGAGCTGCACGTGAGTACCTCAGGTTTCACGATGGGATGCTAAGTCTCTCGTGTGAATTCCATGTTGGCACTTTAAACCTGAACGGAGCCAGAGACGATTTGAAAAGAGCCACTTTGTTCCAATTGATGGAACTTTAAGAATTAATGGTGATTAAAGAAGATTACTGTGATGTTGATTCAGGAAACACACAGTGATGATGAAAATCAGAGTGACTGGAGGAGAGGATGGAATGGGGAGGTTATTCTGAGCCACGGCTCCAGATGTAGTGGAAGAGTGGGGGTTGTGTTCTCCAGGAGTTTTCCACCTTCCACCAATGAGGTGAAAGAAATGATCAAGGTTTACTGAGGATCAAAACACAGTTCGAAAACATGACGTTAGTATTTATTAATGTTTATGCACCAACCAACAGGGTGGACAGGATGTAAGTACTATTGGCATTTTAATACCACCCTGCAGGACAAGGCTTTTAGAGAAACTTAAAAAAACTTCATGTGCAATCACAGGAAAACTAAATCTAAGTTTGCCAATGTCCAACAGCGGGACTTTGGAAAGTCTCAGATAAAACGTCTGTGACAGTTCAATCATAATGTCACAAGAGATTTAACCAGATCTGGAGAAGGACCTGGAGACTCAGGTGGTATAATTGTTGGGTCCAGTTTCCCTGTGCTGCTCAGACTATAAGATTCTGTCCAAGTTCTTGGCCACCAGACTGAGAGAGGTGATGGCGTCTGTAGTCCACACTGGACTTACTGTGTTCCCGGCAGGCTGATAAGTGACCGTGTCACTTTAAATCTGTATGTTTTGGAGGTCTATAGCTCACTGGCCTTTGACACTGGTCTGATTTCGATAGACCAGGAAAAGGCTTTTGACCGGGTTGAGCATCAGTATCTTTGGCAGACCTGAGATGTTTTGGTTTCAGCCCGTTGTTCACAACCAAGATCAAGGTTCTCTATAGTGACATAATGAGTGTTCTGAAAATCAATGGAGATCTGAGTGCTCCCCTCAGTGCTCAGAGGGGGTCCAACAGGGCTGCTCTCTTTGAGGCATGCTTTACTCTTTAGCCATTGGCTATGCCTGATGACCTGATGCAGATGGCTGCAGGATCCCTTTAAACTGTCAGCATATGCTGATGATGTCATCATCATGGCTAATAATCAAAGAGACATCAACACGTTAATAAACACTGTAAATAAAAAGAAAGTTCATGTTTGACTGAATTTATTAACTAATATTAACGGATGAAAAAGCAGCCATGTGCAGTTATATACTTTGTGAACTGTTTTTAACAATTGCGTGAGTGTAAGGGTAATACATTAAATTGTAAAGAAAGTCGGAGATGTTCTACTACATTCAACTTTTTGTTTTAAAACAGTGCCCTTTTCTCACTTGAGCCCCTGCCCCCCAAAATGTCTGGGCACGTCCCTGGTTAGCATGATTTGCACACACTTAGCACACAGTCTGAGCTTCAGTGTGTTACTGCATGTTCACACCTGCAGGTGGAGCTGTATTAATCCAGAGAGCAGTTAACCTGAGATGATGACATCATCATCAGATAATTTATTAAATCACATTTGATCTTTTTCATTAGTGAAAAACAAAAAAAGTGAAAAAATCAAATAAGCACAAAATAAAACATGAAAAAAAAAACAAATCATCAGAAATCAATCGTCACCATTTAACACTGACATGAAGTCTGAATAACGTCCCGGTGATTTGACGAGGGGCCGTCACAACTCTGACCTCAACCCCCCCACCACTCCCTCAACCATATTTGGAAGTTCCACCTTCTTAACGGTGGCAGCTCGACATTGATTGGCTGGTTGAACGTTTTGCACGTGACCAACCTCCTACACAGCAGCTGAGGCTCATGGGTAATGTAGTATTATTATAAATAGAACTTTTTAGGTTTAAAGGTGATGATGTCACAGAGGATTTGGATATTAGCAGAGGTGCATCCTGGGAGAATTAGACCTGAACCTGATGCAGATGACGTCTGACCTTTGACTCTGTAGTTCCCACACGAGGGAGAGATATGTCCTCTCTCTCTTTTGAATGCCTCCTCATCTACACAACCTCAGTGTTGAGTTTCTTCTTCTGCGGTTCTGCAGTATTTAGAAATCTGATGTGACCGCTCTGTTCGTCTTGCTGCACTTGGCGTCTGCTCTTCTGTTCTGATGATGATGAAGTCAGTGACCAGCAAGGGGCGTGGCCACAGTCCCCACACTGACCCTGCAGTACCAGGGCGGCAGTCAGCGCCACCAAGCCCAGCGTCAGTGCTGCCAGCATCAACAGGATGATGAGCTGGATCTCTGATAGGCCAACGGCACCTCGCTCACTCACTGTCACCTTAAACAGCTGGTCGTCTTGACGACTACTGTTACTGCTTGTCCTGTGGTTCCTAACCTCACCTCCTCCTGGCCCCTCCCACCCCAGCGTTGTCCAGCCAGCCTTGAGGGCATCACGGCTCCTTAGCACCTTCTCGCAGGTGGCTCCGGTGAAACTGGGCTGGCAGACGCAGTGGAAGCCTCTGGTGCGGTCGAGGCAGCGGCCTGCGTTGAGGCAGGGTTGACTGGCACAGTCGTTCAGGTTGATGGTGCAGAAGCGTCCAGTAAAGCCAGAGGGGCAGAGGCACGAGAAGCGATTGATGCCGTCCAAACAGGTGGCGCCGTTACCGCATGGCTTCATCAGACAGTCATCCACATTGGTCTCACAGTGGGGTCCCTTGAAGCCGGCCAGACAGCGACATGTCAACTCTGCTGCGAAACCGTCAGCGTCTTCACACAGACCACCATTTTTACACGGAGACCTGAAGGTGACAACAGAGAATAACATCATCTGGACTTATACAGCTGAGGATGATGGGAGTTCTGTGACCTGATGGTGAAACTACACTTCATCCTGAGCATGCGGAACCACAGTCAAGAGTGTTTGAGCGACAGAAACATCAAACGTGGTGATTTGGTTCACTTGGCTTCATCTAGAATTTGACAAGTTATTCTGAATTATATTTGATCAATAATGATCTGATCAGATATATTGATCTTGAAATCATCCAACCTCTTCTGGTGACATGGTCCTATCTTCAGGTGACAGTTGTTGCCGTGGTAACCTTCAGGACACAGACAGATGAAGTCACCGCTGTCCTCCATCACGCAGGTCGCTCCGTTCTCACACGGCTGCTCAGCACAAAAGAACAGGTCTGAAACAGCGATTCATCATTTGATCAAACACTGTCCACCATGTTGTCAAGGCAATGATATTTAATTTAATTATCGAACAGATGAAACCGGAGGCCATTAACACTAGAGGGCAGTGTTTATATGAAAACAACAAATGTGAGGACATTTGACAGCAACATTACAAAAAATCTAAAAAAGAAAATATCTGAAATGAAATTCAGGTGACCTCTGACCTTTGTCACAGAAGCGCCCCCCCCAGCCCGGCTCACAGCTGCACTGCCACGGCTGTTGACACAAGCCGTGCACGCAACCAGGCATCGGCACACAGTGGTCACAGCGCTCACCATCCCAGCCTGGGTCACACCTGGATGGACACATGATCACAGGGAACAACATGTGGGATCAGCAGTTATTGATCAGCACTAATGTTATTGATCAGTGATTGACTGATGGACATCTCACCTGCAGACTCTGGACTCGTCACAGTGGCTGTTGGTGATGTTGCAGCTGCAGTCACTTCCTGTTGGAAGATCAGTAATAGATAAATAATAAATAATAGATCAGAAGCATAACCGATCCCTATGCTGCTTCCTGTTTATGATACATGTGACGTGTCTGAACCAATTAATGACACCAGTTTGTCTCTGATGTCCCGTTGAAAAATGTACAATGGAAAACCGCTCACAGTCAGACTTCCTGTTTGATCCATCGACTGCGACTTCACAGAGATGCTGTCGTCTGATGTCACGACAAATTCACCTTCTCTTGTGGATCATCAACTTTGAACCTCTGACCTCCGACCGTGGCTGACCCACATGGCGTTTCAACAGAGACACCTGTGTGTCTCCCAGCAACAACATCTGTAAATGTTCTGATGCCCTCAACTCCTCCTGCTCCTTTGTAAAACTATAGTTTAACACATCCTGCTGTTCAGCTCCAGCTCCATCTCCAACTTCTACAATCATCAGCCATCATGAACGATTGAGCCATCACACGCTGATCACTCACTATCGCACGTGACACCAACCACACCCTCAGCCACCATATTCCTGCCGTCCAGACTCAGGTGGATAAAAGGAGTAGAGCCCAGTTCAGCAGGAGCTTTGTTTGCCACAGCAGCACAAATGAAACTTCCTCTGTGGTTGTGACATGTACATACAGGACGGTTTATGTTTCCTACCTGAGTCGAAATCTGCCTCTTTGTGTTGATCTGTACTAAACTGGCTGTGGAGACAAATTTGCTCAAGTGGACAATAAAGTCAATAACATAAGAGTTGTGATGTAACAGTCAGTGTGTGAGGGTGTCGATTCTGATGTCACGATCTTTATCCAGAAATCCTGGGTTGACAAGATGTCCTGCGTATCACATCACCTTCTGATTTCCCAGCTGCACCTGAACTCAACACTTTGTTTCCTGGTCAGACACAGGAAGAGTTGCTACATGTTTAGATCACAGACCATGAACTTTGACCCCTGACCTCGGAGCGGCAGTAGATCGGGTGTCAGCTGGAATGATGGAGGTTTGTTTTCACAGAGACAACAGACTCGTCCTCCTCGAGGGCCGCAGCAGAGTTCTCCTGGTGTCACATGACCTGGGCGACAGCTGGGAGGTGCTAAGTGTTATATGAGATGAGGCGGGCGACGGTTAATCTGACAGCTGGGACGAGAACAATGAGTGACCATCATTCACTGAGTGACGACTCATACGTACCATCGCTGTCGTCTTTGCACACACATTATTAATTTAAAGTGCCTTGAGATAATTTATATTATGATTTTGCTCTATACAAATAAAATGATCCAAGAGGATTAAATCAGCCAATTGAAACGTTTCATTGTTGTTCACTTTGTTTCTTTTGAATAGAAACAATGAACTATACGTATGACCTCATACGTATCAAATCACGATGTTCAAACTGATTCATATTATTGAACTTATTAAAAACAGGATGACGAACATTAATCATTAGTTACAAATTTCATGTTGAACAGTTTATTCTAATTTAAAACATGTTCATATCTACAGTTCAAACCTTATATCAGCAGTTTTTAAATTGAGGTTTGATTCCTTCAGGAGCAGTAAACCTTTCATCATGTGACCTACCTTGAGCACTGCAGGGCAGAACAACGAGGATCATGAGGACGCAGACACTCAGCAGGACGGACGCAGCTCTGACCGCAGACATGTCAACTGCAGAGACAATGACCTGAAACAGAAGAGACGATACTCGGAGTCAGTGAAAGATGAGACGTCGTCACATCAAAGCTCCGAAGCAACTGTGACGGACATAAATCAGATCTGGTCCAGCATCAGAGCACCAAGACCAGATCAGCTGTTTACAGGCGCCGTTCACTCACACCCTGACCTCAGGTCACCGCCAAGCAACGACACGTTAACCAGAGACTCAAAACTACAGAGACTAAGGCAACAGAGACTCAAAACCACCAGAGACATAAAACCACCAGAGACTGAAACTACAGAGACTCAAAACTACAGAGACTCAAACGTCCCTGCTTATAATCTTTATGCTATGCTAGGCTAAAAGTTCCCACCTGCGTCCAGTCTTTGTGCTAAGCTAGGCTAACAGATGTGGACCCTCACATGTGGGACTCATCAGTCTGAGCAGCTGGTCCTGGACCATGTGATGTGGACAGACAGACAGATATTTTTCCAGCTTCCTGTTCCCACCTGCCACTTCCTGCTGAAGCTTTCTATTCCCTTGCATGTGTCTGCAGGTTTTCTCTTCAGATCTGGTTTGTTTCATTAGATCTGTCTTCTCTGTCTGTGTCTGTCTGTCTGTCTTTGTCCCTGTCTGTCTCTGTCTGTCTCTCTTTGTCTCTGTCTTTTTCTTATTCCTGCTCGTAGCAGCCTGTTGCTGTAGCAACAAAGGTGGCTCTGCCCACACACTCGACTGACAGGCAGCTGGAAATAACGGCAGGATAATTTTTCCAGAGATTACAACAAACATCAAAACAAGAACTGAGATGTCTGCATTACTGAGTGTGAGTGTGTGCGTGAGTGTGTGCGTGAGTGTGTGCGTGAGTGAGTGTGTGAGTGTGTGCGTGAGTGAGTGTGTGAGTGTGTGCGTGAGTGAGTGTGTGAGTGTGTGCGTGAGTGTGTGTGTGAGTGAGTGCGTGAGTGTGTGGGTGAGTGTGTGTGTGAGTGCGTGAGTGTGTGTGTGTGAGTGAGTGAGTGTGT